TTCCCACACTTGATTTGGATAAATTATTCTTTTTTAAGCAACTTATATAAATGGACTTTTCCCTTATTTCGAAAATCGGCCAAAAAACAGCTAGTTAAAGTTGAAACAAAATTATTTTATTATTATTAAATTCATTTTATTTTAAACCTTTTATTACAAAAAATACTCATAAAATACTCATATTACTCAAAATACTCAATACTCATTTCACACTGAAAGGTTAAAAAATTTGAAAATCCATGCAAAATGTGTATTTCAGTATTTCCTATCTTCTCTTGAAAACCTCATTTCAATCCGAGATCACCGGACAGAAATATTTCGTGTTACCATTTGAGTGGAATACATTGTATTTTATACTTAATGGAATTTTATATTCCAATTGATTTTGTATACATCGGATTATATAAGTTAAAAATAAATAATCGGTAATTTTTTAATGCTGTTTTTGACGTTTCTGTGATGATAAAACTAATATGAAGTTACGATAATAATAATAATACGACTTAGAAAGACAATTTGTGAAAACTAAAACAACGAATTACGAACTACGGCAGACAACTGTGAGTAGATATTTTCAAATATTTTAGCTGTTTGACGATAAAAACATAATAATAAAAAATAGGTGGAAAGTTGGGAATTAGTAGGATACATAAAGCTATTTATTTTATATCAATATCAAACAACAAACCATTTTTAATGAAATACAATTCTGAGCGAAACTCGGTTATACACGCTTTGAAATAGCAGAGTTGATATTTTAATATTTTTTAAAGAACCAGTTTTTTTTTCACTATGGAGAATATTAATGACAATTTAAAAAACTACCATCTTAGAGCCAGGATGCAACGAAAAAAGTACCTTGTCATGTTTTGATTAGAGGAAGATTTCTAAGAGAAAATTTGTTTACTGACAAAAAAAAAAAAAAAAAAATGCATAATAGTAAAACCAATAAATCGCTTCATATAGAATCTAAAACCTACTGCGCATTGAGCTTGTTGGGTTTTCGTTGCGACGTAAATCGAAATAACAAAACTATGACTATACTAATGATTTAAATTATTGTTTTTGAGGTATATTATCAATATATTAAGTACTATTACTCGCGTTCAAGTATACTTACGTGAATTTGAAGCTTATTGATAGTTTTAAGTATTCGAATGCAATTGGCCTGCGCAATAAAACGCCGATTTTATGTAGGTATCTAAAAGATATACAAATTTATTGTTCAATAGTGAAAAATCAAATAGAACATTTGAATTTCCTTTATTATAATGAATTGAGACTATAATAATTGATGATATTCAGACATAATATTTTAAAAGGTCGTTTATAAAAACTATTTCTGGACGAATATATCTTTAACTGAGAAAATCAAAATTCGATATGTAACTTTTTCGATTAGGTATCGATATAACGGAAACTAAAATAAGGTATTCGAATAATATTAAATATATTTTTCGTTGATATTTCATCAATATTAGTTTCAAAAATCAATATGAATCTAACGAACAATAATTCTGAGCAAAGTTCGGTTATACATGTTTTGAAATGTTAAACTTTTTACGATTTACGTGGAAATTGGTCTTAAAACGTTTAAAAATAAACTAGAAAAAGTCAAATGTCTACAAATAGCTAAAAAGTCGCCAAAATGTTTCGAAAATTTCGCAACGTTTAAATACAGCTCATATAAATGTGATTATAAATTTGAAATCCAGAATTTAGAATTCTCATATTTTGAAGTCGAAATTCCGGATTTATGTAAAATCACTAAAACCAATTCATTTATCGCTGTGTTCATTATCTAATAAGTACAACTTATTATGATATTAAAACGTAGATTATTTATTGACGAAAACCAGACAGGCAGACTTGTCGTGTTCTTCGTTTAACGTTAACACAATAATAATAGTATACAAGGTGCAACACAATTGAGAACGAATGTCGCTTATCAAAGAAATTTTTGTTTTTAGCCGAAAAACGAACGATTCTGTACGTATTTTTAGACTAAGTTGTAAAGTTTGGTAGTTAATACTTTTATGAATAAGTTTTATTTTATTAAGGAACTTAATTTTATTCATTATAAAATTAGATATAATTACGTTACAAACTAAAATAAAATGATACAAAATTATAATTTTTAAAATTATATACGGCACGAACGAATTACAAATAATACTGCACGACTATACGAATCAAGCTGGTTTTCCATCAAGTTAATGCAAGTTTAGGAAAAACATTGTAGCTAAATATGTTAGTATTTATCCTATGTCGTATTTTATTTTATATTTTTTTGTTGTATTTTATCGCCCGGCGTAATAGTAGAAAACTATTGTTGTTAACCATATACGATTTGATTATATTAAAATAAAACAAAATTTAGAAAAATCATATTAAATCCATTTATTAAATAAATTTAATTGTCAAACAGTTATACACCAAAACTTTAATAATTTTTGTTTATCAGTTTATATGTAATCGTGATTATTTTTGTTATTAATTTGGTACCAAGCGACATACGTTCTTTCGACAATCGACTCTATTTTGCTTTTGAAATTTGGGAAATTTTGTACTTATTTGTAAAATAATCTTAGATAATGTCTAAAATAACAAATTTGTTCACCATTTATCGTGTCCACGTGTACGCCTGGTTAACTTCCTATAATTGATTAACATTACTATTATTACTTTTCCACCTATAGTTGTGGCGTACCAGTCTCCAAAATTGGCCCTTTTTTGTTGATCATTGTTTAACTTTTCACACAATATTACAACTAAAAACCACAATGTTGGGTTATAGTCAAACGAGTCATAATTAAAAGCATGTAACGACTTTATACTTAATGCAAGGATAACCGTAACCGGTGATCCTTCACAACTTATGGAAAAAAAGATCCTGGTATATGTATAGTGAATGCTAGTGGCACGCAGTTGGAAACCATTGGTTTAGTCCTTTCTGATTTCGATAAACTCCTGGTAAATGCAGTAATAATATATTTCTTTACTCCCAAACGCTTTTTTTTTTTTAAATCGGTATATTATGTATTTAATTATGTATCGGTATTATATATTTTTTCAATTATAATATCCAGATTTCATTGAATTCAACTCGCTTTTAACCGCATAATATTATAGGTACAATGCAATATAATATACAGCAACGCGTTCGTTAGAAAAAAAACGTCTGTATAGATAATACGTTATTAAAGAGTGACGGTTTTACCTAAAAAAAAAACCTACTGTAAAGAAGCCGACTGCATTCTCTCGTTCGAATTCTGGTGCGGACGACAATGCATGCGGCGGCGACGTGCGCTCTCGTGACAACGGCAGTGCGCTGCGACGTGCCTGTACGTTCCACTCAAATAGTCAAGTAACTCGCATCCGGACTATCTTGGCGGGCCGCATTCGTCGAAGCTATAAATAATAATACTATACAGACCGCCAAAATATCATAGGAAATCGGCCGAAAGACGTGTGAATACCTATATACGTATATACGTACAGAGTGATTTTTTTTTTTTGTCATTAACCAGCAATAGTTATCTCGGAGGATTTTAAGTAAATCAGATTTTTTGTTTTTTTTTTTTTTTTTTTAAGATCATCCTGGGATTGGTTAAACTTTATTTTAAAACCGTTTTTAATTTTTACATCTACTCCATACATCTGAAATAAGTATAATATACTTTTGTTTTTTAAATAGGAACCCCCTTTTACAAATCCGAACAGAGTATATTTTTCTAGAAATGTCGATATGCATAACACTATAAATTGTTTATGAGTTATAACCATTTAAAGTTTAGACTAGAAGAGTAGGGGAGGGTAATACATTGCATATTTCTTTAAAATACTCTTCCCTACTCGTGTGGTTTAAACGTTAAATGGTAATTCATGTCAAATTTTCTAGAATAATATACTCTATTCGCATTCAAAAATAGAGGGTTCCAATTTGAAAAAAAAAAGTGCACTGATATATTTATTTAAGGTAGATATATGAAGTAAGAGTAACAAATCAAAAATGGTTTTAAAATAAAGCTTAAGCGATTCCACAATAATAAAAAAAAACAAAACATAAATCAAATCCTCCGAGATAATTGCTAGGTTGATGATAAACAATCACTCTGTATAAACAGAGCGATTCAAAATTTGTTTCAGCCATTTTATCAAGTAATATTCAAAATAGAAAACAATTTATTGTAAAACATTTTTTCGAAATATACACATTTAAAACAAATTTGTAATTTTTTTTTAAATTCTCTTTTTTGGGAGGGGTTCTGGGGGTCAAATTTTGAAATACAAATAGGAATACCTGTATTAAAAATGCCATACATGGACGGAGTGTTAACTTAAATACATTTCGGTATTGAAATGTTTGATTTCCATCAACCTGTTACCGAGATATTTGACTTTTTAGTTTTGGTAGGGGGAGGTATAGTGGTGCACTATTCAAACACCGCGCGCCATGTCACCACACAAGCGGTTCCAAAGACGAAGCGCTCAAGTCAATTTCATCGAAAAATTCCTAAAAATTATCTAAGTATTCATTTTGACTAAAATCTTAAAAGCCACGGTATTTCAAAACTATTATCGTTAGCAGTGATTTATCGTTGAGTACAGAAAATATAAACGAAATTACTCTACGTGTCCTACCTTCCCGATTTCCCACCTGCAACCGTAGCACAGCCGTCAGCAGTATCCACTTTTTTTTGTATATAACAATATAGAATTTTATCTAGTTAGCCTACTAAACAATAACAGACCGAAGTATCGACGACGGCCGCGCATGCACGTCCACCGTGGTAGGTATTGTTTCTTTACCGATCGACCGCCGCCGCGTCGAACGAACCGACCGTAACAACGCGGCGACGTCGCTACACAACAAGCGCCGAGACTTAAACGGTGGTGGTGTCAATCGTCGTCGCCGTCGACGTCAGCAGTGGGCTGCTGTAGTACGTTCGCCGTCTTCTGTCTTCTGCGCGCGCGACCGGTTCGTGTCATTCGGCCCGGCCATGGACTCCGGGACGGTCGCGTTATTACAGGTGCTGTTGGCCACGGCGCTCTCGTCGTGGCACTCGGACACCGCGGTGGTCACAGCCACAGCGTTCGACGGCGGCGCCACTGGACTTTTCGGTTACCCGGACGACGATCACGTCATCATCACGCAGTACGGCCCGATGCGTTACAAACCGGTCACCGCGGACGAGATGAACAGGCCGTACGACGGCGGCGGGCCCCGCGGCGCCGCTGGTCATTACAAGGCCGAAGTGATTCCGTTGGACATTAAAACCTGGAAACCCATGCCGGGGAACGCCGGCGGAAGTGGTGGCGGTTGGGTGGGCAGAGGAGCGGTTGGTGGAAGTGGTCGGTCGGAGGACTTTTTCGACGTGCCGCTAAGGGTCGGTTACACTGTACGGCCCGTCACGACGTCCACTCGCCGGCGCCGACACGATTACTACCTGATGGCCGCGGGTTACCCGTCGCAGTCCCAGCCACCGCCGTCGCCTTCCCAATATCTTCACAGGTATCACCCCGGAATACGCCTGCCGCCGCCGCCACAGCCGCCCCCCGCGGCCCTATTGTGGAGGTACTAACCTCGGTGTGTGGGCCCCAAAACGGTAAGTTCGAGTACACGAATATTTTATATGTGTAGGGCCCGCGGTTTTCAATGCAAAATGCGTCTAACGGGGGTTGTTCTACCGCTATTCAAATACATGATTCGATGTTACCTAATTCTTAATAGATACTTTAAAAGTGTTTAATTTATATTTTTGATTTTTAGAACATTTTTTTTTTTTTTATCATTTTTTGGCAATTTTATATTCAGAGCGTAGCAAGGAAAGTATTAGTTTTACAATTTTTATTTATTTTTTTTTATACTATGAGCACTTTTCCACTAAAAATCTTGCTCCGATTTGTTAATTGTAGCATTTTTTCCGAAAGAAAATTTTGTCTCTAGTTGGTATTTTGAGGTCTTATTTTGATTTTTCAAGTAGTTTTCATAATGTAAAACTGGAGAAAAACGTAGAAAAAATGAGAAAATCTACGTACATGTTTAAAAGAAGCTTCGCTCCGAATTGTTTTTCGTTATAAATGGTTTATCGTCGTGTACAGATTTAAATTGAATTCCCCTCTATATCTTACCTTCCCGACTTTTCATCTACAACAGTAGCCCACCCATCGTGCGAAGTGTGTCCGTCTCTTCTGTTCGTTCAAAGTGCATATTTATATATTTTACGAACTAATTGTCTAAACTTAGGTAAGTAATTCTAAATATTACTCTGGGAAATTTGGTTTTCGTGAAATTCGCTTTGATATGTTTTGAATGTTTTCAATATAGAATTTATTGTCTTAAGCCCGGGCTCAATCAAAAAACCAATAAAAAAGTGGTCTATTTAAGTATTAAAGTAGTGATAAGTGTATGTAAGTAGTATTTCGCATATTATCCTGTATTCAATTTTTAAATAATTGTTTAGCATTTTTGGCTATTTTTAGATACTTTTATAGTTGGTAACAATAATACACGTAAATTCTATATAGTAACCTAATAGTTACTATGATTATTTTTTCTATTTGAAAATTTGTAGGTACACGTGTAAGTAAAAATAAATATAATAGCTGGAATGCTGCATATTTTATCGAGAAACTAAGTTTTTCCGAATATTTGATGTACATAGTACATTTGAAAAATTATTGGTCCTTAATTATGTTTTTATATTCAGACTACTAAGCCTTGTTTTATTTTTAACTCTTTTTTGTTATTTTATTCGGAAAGTGGTGAAGAAGTCATTAGATTTACTAAGGTGTGGTTTTTTTTTTTATTTTTTATTCAAAATTGCTCTTAATATTGTTCTCGTTGTTCGTTTTACCTTAAAATGGATGCGGATTTTTCGGCCAACTGTAATGCTTCATTTAAAACATTTTTTTCAAGATTTCTTATGGTTTTTTTCAGAAAGAAAAAAAAAATAAACTGGAAAAAAACTGGTGATTTTATTTTTGTCGATTTTTGGATTATCTCGTGCAGGCTACGAGGAAAAATTATCGTTACCTTACCAATCAACTGGAATACCGTTCCGCAACGTTTTTTTCATTTTGACGATTTATTATTTCTTTCGGTACGACACGCATCTCATTCTTTTCCAACTTCCCATCTACAACAGTACAGACCTACACACGATGCAATGTATGCACCGCTTTTTAACATTATTATTGAAAGTAATCCATAGATTATATAGATTATAAGTCGATAGTTATAGCTGGCTAATCCTGAGATATATACAGCGTTCATCACAATCGGAATGACGTGTCTGTTTTAAAATCAATTTATCTAGGAAACGCACGTATCAAAAACATAATATAATATGATATTAGGTATGAGAATCTAAATTATTATAACACGGTGTTTTTTTTCATGCGGATTTTCCCTTTCTTTACATTATTATTTTCAATTACATATAATTCGACTTTGAAAAAACGATTCGGATTTTTTTTTCACCGACAAATAAATTATAAAGTGGCACACGTGGTTGAAAGTTGATAAGAAATTAATATATTATTAACAGTTAATAAATGACACATTTCACGTTTAAATGTATTATTTCGTACACTTATTTTAAATTTTGTTTATCATTATTTCAAGTTTGTTCGACATACCTACAGTTTTCGTACTTGTGTAGAATATAAAATAAATCTGGACATTTTATAATATTTACGGTAAATGTTTGATAACTGTTTTTTTGGTTTTCCATATAAAAATTCATTGTCTAGCTAGGCATTAATAGCGTATTTATAGAGGAAGGATACTGGTTTTCAACCGGTTAAATATTCAGTGTGATTAAAGGCAAGGTATTTTTGGGATAAAAACATTAGCACACGGAGAAACTGATTATTGATGGATTAGAGTTAGTTATAATTCGGTTATTACACGATTAGAATTTTATATAGACATTATAGGTACTAAACATTTTGTTTATATATTAGATTCTAAGAGTGTAGGGACGACAAGAGATCGATATTGTTTTGTTTTTTTTTTTTTTTAATTTTTTTTTTATTAAATTCACGAATATTGTAGTACCAAAAAGATTGAATAATATTTTTTAAAATACAAATTTAAAAATAGACTGACTATATATAACGTGGTGAAAAACTGTTGGCTGATAATGATAAGATCTGAACAAAAACTCATTTAGTGATTCAACACAAAATCCACGTTGTCACAGTAAGTGTTGAAGGGGATATGTTCTGGACTTGTCCCTTTTTTACAATAATCACTTATACATTAGCTGTTTATATTTCTATAACGATTCAAATACAAATAAATACAAAATAAGTATAAACCCCGTAACGATTCATAATATTTTACTTATTCCTAATGATAATATAAAACCATATAGGTTATTTTATAATACTTAAAATATAACAACTACCTAATAATAATATATTTTATTAACGTAACGAATTTATGCGAACTCCACTATAACATTAAGGAAAACAAGGTTACGGGGGGAGGGGCATGCATCCCCCTAGCTACGCTACTGGAATCACAGACAAAGATAGTTCTAAGATAGATCTAAAGTAGTTTTCATAATAATTAGGAAAAACCAAGGAGTTAAATTCCATCAATATATTTACACCAACTGAACCGGGACGATTAATTATTTTAATTTTTGTAAACGATGTTTTTTACCATAAATCTTATGCTTCAATCGAAGAATGACCAATAATCTATTTTTTTCTATTTAATATCTAGCCGCTTATAGAGAAGGTAATTTTTTGGTTTTCAAAAAGACGTAAAAGGACGTAAAAACTTTTTTTTCATACTTTGAATTTAGTGAGTAAGAGTAATTTAGTTAGTGGCATTTAAATTTTCCGTGTAGTTGTCTTAATAATTGAGCAAAAAACAAAAAATGTAGAATGAATGAGAAAGTTTACGAAAACAATGTATCCATTATGTTCAATTATGTTTTTTGTAGTAATTCAGTTAAAAACATTCGTAGAAACTTGAAATCTTAACAGAACTTTAACTAAAGTGGCATTTTGTTGACGTGGTCAAATGTTCACAATATTCTGATTTTGAGCTATTTATAGAATTTTACATTTTCAAGTTTAGTTTTTATTTTGTAGGTTCTACTATTGTTTGAAATGTTTTTTAATGGTGTTAAAATATGTTTTAAGATTTAATTTTTACGTGAATTGTGAAAATTCCAGCAATTCAAAATATGTATAAGCGAACTTTCCTTTGAATTGTTTTTTGTTAGCCATGGCTTATCGTCAATTAAAGATATAAATTAAATGAGTTTATGTATCCTACCTTCCCAACTTTTCATCTACATCATTGGTGCACCCATCAGCATCAGCTCTTTTATTTTTTATTATTTTTAGAAAAATCGTCTGTTTGTTGACACAATATAGTTTTATTGTGCTGCAATCGTTTTAAAATGTATGAATCGAATTCGATTTCACCCCCGTGAAAATGTTCGCGTTCGTATCAATGTTTAACGTGACAATGATTACGACATGAATTATTATAGAAATTAGAAATTTAAAATGCAGTCGGTCACAATAGTATATAATAATTTGAGCGATCTAAATAAGATTAATCTATTATATTATTGGATAGTTTCAACGCGGACATTAAAAATGTTTTATCGAGCCATAAATGATTTCACTATATAATATTTTGTATAACGACACGTCCATAGATATACATTGTATATAGTATTACATCAGTGAAATATTACAATCGTATTATCATTATAATATATTTAATCATTGTTTGGAACTTTGAAATAGACACGTAATTCGAAGTGTATTAAAAATACATAATAGTATAACGCGGAGTGAAAACACTTTGCCCGAGGGTTAGATATTAACAGGGAGTATTATCACAATAATATTATTATTGTTATTGTTATTTTTTAATCATTCGTAAGCATAGTAGTACCTAGTTACAATTTAAATAGCAGGTGTGCAGTTTTCTGAAACTAGGTGATAATAATAATGTTTTGTTTTTTATTCACATAGGTTAATCTTGATATATATTTATATTTTCGCACTTTAAGCCAAAGAGTATTGAGAACAAAATACAAATATTTAGGGAACACGAAATCATTTGGAGAGATTATGAAAAAATTGACTTATTACCAAACTTAAAGATAAGAACCTTTTCTGTGCAACGCTGGTGCTTTTTTTTTGATTTTTAATTTTTAAGACAAATAGGAGTATGGGAAATATGAAAATTCAATACTATTTATAGCTCTCTTTTAAATTAAAATATCTAAAAAAATAACGCAAACTTTGCATAGATAATGTTCTTATAATTAAGTTTAATGGTAAGTCAATTCATCTTAGTATTAAAACTAATAGTACAAAGTTGTTTCAGCTGTACGCAAATTTGAAATGTTATACATTTGCAAGACGAAGATAATACATACATGCGGGTGTTACGTCTTTTTAATGAATTCAAATGGTAGCACATTATGTTCAATTTAGGGTGGTCCTTTTTCTTAAGTTTTAAAATTTGATGCTCGAACCCTAAAAATTTGTTCTAATGCATAATATAAAAGGATGGACATACTTCGTACGATGGGTGCAGACACAATTTGTATCTGTAGGCAATAATAATCCATTGCTTAATAAAAAAGATTCTCAGCGGGGTTTAGTTAATAATGATGGTTTGTTAACAATATTTATGTCATATTATGGTAAAATTATTAAATTGTATAATATATTTTCTTTAATAATATTTATTTAATATTGTACCGATTTTCCTGGTTTTTCACATTTGCTGGGAAAAATTTCGGGAAAATCGAAAAATGATTCCCTAAAGTACCTTCCCAGGGAAATTTAATTTCATAAAAAGTGCTTTCATTGTAAATCGGAGCAAAATTGCTAGTAGGAAAATTGTTCACAGAAAAAAAAAATCTTAGTATTTTACTAATACATTTCGTACATTTTCCCGTTTTTTCTCATTTTTTCCATTATATAGGAAAACTACCGGAAAAATCAAAAAATGACCTTCTTAAAGTATCACCACAAAAAATTTTCTATTCGAAAAGGGTCTATATCGTATATATTGGAGTAAGCTTGCTGATAGAAAAAGTGTTCGCATAAAAAAAAGAAAAAGAAAAGAAATAAATATCTTTGTAAAACCAATACATTCTTCGCTACATTCAGAATCTAAAATAAGGTGTGTAGAATTCTTTTATGATTGTTCAACCCTAAAACGTCCCCCAAAGGAGTTTGATGGTTTCCAAAATAGTCAAAATTGTTATCAGTATTCTCAGAATAGTAATTCTATAATGATTCATATTTGTTTAACAATAATAAAAAAATATTATTGGTTTGAAAATGCTGTGAACCAGGTGAAAAATATTTTAATTAATTACTAACTGTATTCCGTGCTCAATGATCAATTGAATAAATCAACTAACAAACAATCAATAGTAAATATAAACAGAACTATAAGCAAGTAATATTAAAATGTTGCTATGTCAAACTGTAAAATTAAAAAAATGAAACTAATAATATACTCTTAATGAAGTATCAGTTAAATAAACTTGCCTACCCGTTACCAATGTCGCTGTGTTGTGTACTTTGTTAACAGCATTTAATACAGTAAACGTCAAAAGGACGACAATTATATTATACCACGTTCTATCATGTACAACTTTAACATACTTTCACAGCTTACTGCGAAACGTGAAATATTCTAGAACTTTGATTGGTTGAACCGTGTGACTATTATGTAGTGGTTTACCAGTAGTTAATCATCAATTTTGATTTTAATACCTTCCCTATAAAGCTTACACCGGAAAGTTGAGTTCAATCCTAGCCAGACCGTGTGTTCATCATGGTTTAATGATAATGGTTCAACTATTTTAAATTGTATCAATCATACGATGAACAAATTGTAAATTATCACGTTTCACGGTGAGCTGTGAAGGACACCTTTAGCTTAAGAAGTCTGTAAAAAGGCGACGAAACGAAACACATTAATTACTGAATTATTTGTTAAATATTAGTAGATAATATACATAATTAGTATGTATGTATAATATTATATAGTATAATTAAAGCAAAAACTATTAAAAAACACCAAATAAAAACGAAGATATCAATGAAAAGTCGAAATCCATGTCGAGAGAAATTAGGTTTCATGGACAGTTTTAACGCATTAAACACTTTTGACGGGAAACGGGTCTGGTAAAAATCCTTTAAAGTCGTAAATTTATTGGGAAAGAGCTAGAAGCTGTTATTTTCTGTGAAAACGGCCGGGGTAATAAAAAAAAAAACTTGGTGGAACTGGAAGAAGAAATAATCAAATTGGCGTTTTATTATTAAGGAATCTACGGTAGGTTTTTTTTTTATTGGATTACTTTTAAGAGGTTTTTGAATAAAATGCGAATAAAAGTACATATTTCATTAGCAGATTCAATATTGTGTAGCTGCCTGAAGAGATATCTATAATATAAAGCAACAAATAATTTATATACTTATACCCCTATACTCTTCGTTCCTGTAGCTTTCTAGGAAAATTGGATTCTCGCACAACCTACTTATTTTATTAATATAGATACAATTTATTCACCGCTTTGACTAATATTCAGATTTAATTTTGTTATTATTATGTTCGTGTTTAGGTTACTCGAGGGTAAGACTACGTGGGTAGCCACCTCAGACGAGGACGAGGAGGAGACAAAGGAATTACGAGCATCGTGTGAACATACCATCATCATCGTGTTAATTTTATGCAGACAAAATCCCTTTAAATTTGTTATGATAGTAATAATAATATATGTATAACACCTCACCGAAGCGAATGTTACGCGGTAAATTATTTTTTTCTACTTTTTTTTTTCAAGATTTTATATCGTTGTTCTGGTTTTTTAATAATTAAAAATTTGTTTTATGAAACAAACCGCAATTCTTTTTTTTTTTTATAACATGTTTAACGAATGAAAATAATATAATAAAAAAAAAAAAAAAAAAACGTAATAAATGTTATATACGGCAATCATTATAGTTCGTAAAAAATTATCTTTGTATAAAACAACACCATTTTTATTTTTTTGATTGATGAAAAAAACGTTGCTCGGAATTATTAATATTTTTTTTAAATCCTATCGAAGTATAATATAGGTAATGTTAAAATTATTATAAAGTAGTACAATGTCAGTTTTATTTTTTTTTTTTAATAACTAGATACCTAATAATATATACTATTTTAGAAGACTAATTATTATAAACTTTCTTCTCTTTGTCTGAGAGAAGATTAATTTTTTATCGAATATATAATGTCAATGTAGCTATCTATCTTTTTACACCATCAGTTTTTTTCTTGGTTGAATTGTTTTACTATGATGTTTATTATTTTTTTTGTATATTGTGAACACAAATTTGAATAGAAAACTACCTCAGATATGTACACGTAGCACTAACCATTTCAGAAAGGCAATGTTGTTTATATGGTACTTTTGGGAGGTCATTCTTTGATTTTCCAAGCGGTTTTTATAATATCTTGGAAAAAACAGGATAAAACCTAAGAAAAACGGAAAATGTACGAAAATAATACTTTTATTATTTTTCAATTTTGTTAGTTGTTGTAATTCAGTTAAATATATTCGTAGAGACTTGTAATTCAGAAAAATACTTATATTTGTCTTTTCTAGACGTGGTAAAATTTTCAAAAATGTAAGCCATTTTTGAGCTATTTATAGATATTTGAATTTGGTGAGTTTTGTACGTAATTTTTATTCTGAAGGTACTCTGTGGTAAAATTGTTAGACTTGAACAGATATGCTTGAAAATTTAACAGGAGGTTCATTAGGAGTCAAAATTTATAGTAAAAAAAGAAATTGAGTTTAATGTAGTATTTTTTTTTTATATAAAGGAATTTCAATATTAAATTTTGACGAAGATCGTTTGAGTAAAAAATGATATGGAATAAATGAATTTATAAATTTTTTTTTTTTTGAACCTATTTATGATTAACCTGATTTTTGAACCTATTAACTGATTTAAAAATGATGGAAAAGTCAGAATTAAGCGGACTGACTGATGACTAAGTTTCAAAATTATAGTTTTTTGAAGTTTTAATATTATTCGGATGTTATATGTTATGTTGAATAGCTGTATATTGTACCTACTCAAGTATATTTGCCATAATCTAATGATTATTTATGCCTATTATCATCCTAGGGGTTCCGAGTTCAAACCAGTGTTTTATAAAAAAATGGTTTTGCATTTTTTTCCCTTTTACCTAAACAAGGAAAAAACAAATGCATTTGTGATGTACCCAGAGACCCAAGTCATCGATATATTTTAATCACAAAATCTCCCTCGATTTGTTGTGCAGCCTTTTCTACCAGAAATTTCTTTCTGATATAAAATGATAGCACTTTTTCTGAAAGGAAATTTGACTAGAAAGTTACTTTAGGGAGGTATTTTTCAATTTTTCCAAGGGTTTTTCTAGCACATGTGAAAAATCGGGGAAAATCATGAGAAAACCGAGAAATAATTAAACAAATATTATTACAGAAACTATATAATGCCTATTTAATTATTTTACTATAATATGACATGTATATATATTTTCGATAAACCATCACTATCAACTGAACTGCGCTCAGAATGCTTTTTTTCGTTTGCAATGGTTTATCGTTGCTTACAGATATACATTAAATTACCTATAAAAGTGGCTGCACCCATCTCTTTTATCCTAGTACAGCTTTTTAACATAACTTTTATTCAGATCGAACGCATTTGGTTGGTGATGATGCAAAAAAGATTTCGTTCAAAATTATTTATTTATTTCACATCATTTAAAAATTGCAATATACCTACGACAAAGTTAAAACGTCACGATTCACGGCTTTGTCGTTGCTTTAATGTGTGACACGGTTCCGCGACGAGACTTTCCGTTAAGTAATCCGTAACGTCTCTCATCCGTTAGGATTAAAAAACCGTGGAGTTTATTCACCTCGACGACGGTTTTTCTAAAACATTATTATATCTAACGGAATTGATTTTAAGTGTTATTGCGGTTTAATAATAATTATTATTTTAATACGGAAATAATATATATAGTTGTGTTTAACGATGCAGTATTCGGTAAGCAGTGTGCTGCATTGTTTGCTGTTTGTTTGTCAGTGCTTGATTTGGAGGAGATATAATGAGGCTGAGTACCTCAACTAGTTTTTTGAATATTCTAGCAGATAACTACTTCTTTTTATAAAGGGGAACGCACGAGATGGGTTATTATTTAAACTTCCTGTTTTTTTTTTGAAATTTCTCATCTTTTTTTTTAAGAGGACATTATACCAGCTTTCCGCATTTACTGTATCAGTCCTACTTACGAACAATATAGTAAAATCCATCTTGGGCAGACTACGTAGAACTCTCCTAATTTTGGTTTTAGAATAAAGGCATTTCTATAAATTTAAAAGACGATATTATTCTGAAGTGAAAGACGATGTGGTTTTTAGTTAAAATTGAAATGTTAAAGTCATTTAAAAACGATGAATTAGCCTTTATTTCTAAATGATGTTTTGGATGATGTATTCGGAATAATAATTATAATAATAGGATAAATGCAACATTTTGTTCTTCAAAATATTTTCTTCTTTTAATTTTATAATAATTGATTTCACTCTAAAACCAAAATTAAGCGAATTCCACGTACAGTCTGCGTAATGTCGATTTTGCTATATTGCCCGTTAGTTGGACTGAGACAGCACATGCGGGTACGTATTAACGTATTCTTAACACAGAAATGTAAGTTGTGCAATTTTATGAAAATAGGTAGTGCCAGGAATATTAAAATGCTAGGGACGCTTATTTTAAAAATTAGCTAGAGTGTTTACTACATTTTTTCTGAATCAAGCACTATTGTTTGTTACTTGATTGCAATAATGCCAAAATTTTTCGTTTACTGTGCAGAATATTTCATCAATGGATAACTTATAACCGGAAACAGTAAATCCATAGTTTTTAATTTTTAGACGATTCCGACAACCTATATTTGTCAAATTGTGAATTCTATTGTCAGACAATTGTAGAAAACAATATTGTCAAAAATATTTTGCAAAACGCCATGGAAATTTCAGTTTTTACTATTTTTTCTAGATGAATTTGGTAAACTCAGTAGATAAACTCAATAATTTGTTGTAATGTTCATTATAAAGGTGTAATATTTAGCGGAACATTTGATCTTATAGTGTCACAATATATCTGGTTCTTTGAACTCTGCAGGTTATTATATTAATCGTTAATAGGTGGTTTCCAATTATTTTAATATAATCGACAAATCAAATTGTTGAAAAAAATAACCGTGCGATGACATGTCGACGCTCGATATTTCGAGGATAGCACTTATTCGAATGTACCTACTACTTACACTAATAGGAAATTAAAACAATATTATAAATCACAAGCGTATCTTAAATAATAGAATGTTTCTCCTTTATCATATCACTTAGAATGTTAAAATAATTGCATTATTGTCTATGCAGCTTATCTACTTAAATATGTTTTTGGTATGTTACCGTCGTGTTACAAACAAAGCTCAGTGCGTGATTATTCTAATAGCTAAGTATGGAATCATAATAATAGTTAACAGTTATGACGAACTTGTAAAATAATTAATACTTTATTTTAAGCACTCATTATTAATTTTTAGTCTATCATATAGTTTTTTTGTCTTTACATTTTTAAAATCTAAACTTAATTTAAAATATAATAATACTATATGTATGGGGTTCTACCAAAATGTCCGGGGAAAAATGTCCAAGGAAAAAGTGTCCGGAGGTGAAAAAATATAATACATATATAATTTGTTATATTTTAATATTATAATTTTTAAACATAAATAATAAATAAAATACAATTTTAATACGTAGTAATAATATTAATAGGTATAATAATTGTCCTATTTTTTTTATTTAAAAGTAATAAGAATGACAACGATAAAATTGGCTAAAAAAATATTATTCTATTTTATTATACCATTCAATTAAATTAATTAAATTCAAGGATATGTGTTTCAAAAAGTTGCATACTTTTTTTTTCTGCTGGTGTCCCTTTGATCTATTTTACATTAGTCAACCTCCAACTCCAACCGCGCCTTTTCAATTAACAGCTGAGTGGGGTTTTAAAAATAATTTAGAAAACAATGATTCCATCTTTCAGTTCTATACCTACCATGTACAAGTTCGACATTTTTATCAAAAATCATATATATTAAGTAAATTAAGTATTCTTCATACTTTGAATACTACCATCAGTACTTAGTTGTATAGTTTTATTAAAGTATTGTTCTCTATAGCGTCAAGTATTAGTATACTAAGTTGATTTACTAAGTATATTTAAGTTATTATTATTAGTTACTAGCTGTCCCGTTCAGCGTTGCCCGTGCTATTTTTTACCCATATTCCTGTTTGGTTTTGACCATGTCAGTAATGAAAAATAACCAATAAAAACTAATAGGTGGGAAGTGGATAGTTCAACTTCTGCAGACTAATAGTTTTCTATTATAACATTTCTTCATGAAAGGCAGAGTTGTACTTCCGTATATTATCGGGAAAAACTTAAGAATGATAGTGAAGCTGTACCGCCCAGCGTTGCCCGTGCCATTTTTATTATTTTTTTTTTAGCTAAATTATTTGTTGTATATCTTATATATAAAGTTCTCGTGTCACGTGTTTGTGCTCACATGCACATTTTCGTTATCTGGTTGGATTTGTTTGTCTGTTCTTTCGGCTCTACTATTTCACATGTGTATCGCTTTATTTGTTCGACGGCTCAAATGGGCCCTCTTGCGTCTTGCTGGCATTGTTTAATGTAACGCACACACAAATAGACAAAATTGTAGTGATGGAATCTTACTGATGGAATTACGTGAAGACAGTTTATTAAATTACATTTTATTGCATAAAATAATGTGGCACATAGATCTTTA